CCTCGGCCTCCCAAAGTGCTGGGATTACAGGCTTGAGCCACCGCGCCCGGCCAGTGGCCTGTCTTGAAGGTATTTTAAGCCCTAAAATTCTCATCTCAAAACCAGGTCTGTGGCTTGCAAATAACTCCTATTCTTTACCCAGGTGTCCAAATGTCTGGCTTCCTTACTTCTTGCCACTTCCTTGCATTCAGTCCCCTTAAGGCTATAAGGTGAGAGGACACAGGGAAGAAGCCGTGAACCGGTAACTACATTTCACAGGTGGGCCAAGGATAGATACAGAAATGAAGGAATACAGGCCATGTATGAACGGGCAGCCACTGTGGTAAAAACAGAAGTCCTTAAGTCCTCAGAGGAGCACAGAGCCACATAAGACTCATGATGCATAGACAGACCTCAACCCCAGAAATACCAAAATGAAATTTACTTCCGTACTGGACAACCCATAAGGTCGCAGAATATACAAATGGCCAAAGTCACACATAATCACATTTCCACAGTCACACAACTAAAGGCACAATCACCCAATTATGCTACACTGTTAGAGCACCTCCTCTCAAACAAAATCCCATTAAGTACAAGGCATATAATTACATCCAAGCACCTTGTCAGAGACACATACCGCCAGAAACACCCTTTCAAAGCTCCAAGTTTAGTCTCTTTACTCAGTCATAAAAACACACAACCCGACAGTTACACACAGTCACCCAACCAAGTACCAGATCAGGGAAACACGTGGTCACAAACACCGTGTCACAGCCACAGTCACACACCTTACATTTACTGGCAAACCCGTCACACGATATCAGGTATATACACAACCTCAAAGTGACACAAGCACATCCAAACACTCTTGTCACAAATGTCACACACTTTATAGTCACAGGCAAACCTCAATTATACACGCGGTACATACACAGTCACATGAGCACATCCCAGCCAGGTAAGCAAACATTCACAAACACCCTCAGAGTCACAAACAACTCACATTCACACAATTGCTCATACACAAAACCACAGCCACACTCACCCAGTCGTGTATGCACAGGCAGGCACCAATACCAGGCAGGCTGCAGCCAGCACACAAAACCCGAGACACGGCCACACGTGTAACCCCAGAGACGCTTTCTCCGCGCAAGTCCGCTCTGGCATCCCGGACACTCCTACCCCAACAGAGGTGCAGTTCAGGGTCCAAGATCCGGCACTCGGGTTCCAAGCCCTATTTCGGGTTCGCCAGCCTAGCAGGTGCCGAGCCAAGCTCCTCCACAGACGCGGCCCTCTCCCCACGCGATACCTCCAAATCTCGCAAACCAACGGAAATGAAGCCGCGTTCCGGACGCGGTGACTCTGGGAAATGTAGTCCAGCGCCGGGAAGGCGCCGGCCGGCACGGGGAGGCTCAGACCGCTCACCCCTCGGAAGCTCGTGGACTCAGCCTGTGGAACCGGCTGGTCCTGGTTGCGGCGCCCGGGAGATTTCTAGGAGTGCCCGCCCGCGCTCAGTGCGCAGGCGTCGGTCGCTCAGGGCCTGCGAGAGCGAGCTCTGAGTTGTCCCAGGGTCTACCAGAGCAGGAGAGAGGGTGGGACCAGCCGGCCAAGCAGGTGCTGGGGAGAAGCCGGAGTTGGTGCGGGGACCTGCCAGAACCGCGGATTTGCAGAGGACCCTCTGTGTGCCCTGCCAGCCCCTTAGGGGGAGTGTGCGTGTGTGTGACAATGGGAGATGCTGGGTGGACTGGGAGTCTTTACGTGGCCGGGTGTGTATGGTTGTATTTCTGCCTGTGTGATTCTTCCTGCTGTGGGGTGTGAGGTGATTGATACTTTAAGCTACGTGGTAATGGGATTTTATAACTGTAGAATCGTCTGACAGAGTAAGATGATTCTACACAGATCTCTGCTGTGGTTTGCTTATGGATATCTGCTTTTTGTGTGTGTCCATAATTGAGTAACTGGTGACTTGTGTTATATAAAGGTGCTTTCCTTGTTCTTGTATTTTAGTGTCTGTAAGGGCGCCACTAGCAAATGAGCTGTGTGTGATCGTGTATGACAGTGAAAATACAATGGCCAAGTTATTTCTTCCTTAAATAGTAATGTAATAATCTGGAAACGATAATTTATCTGACAAGTAATTGAGACATGATTTTTCTGTTGGATCAAATTTATGTGTTATAGGGAAGAATGCAAAATTAATATAGTTTTTTTTCTTTGTTTTTAGAAAGATTATTTCAAAACCAGTCCTAGGGTAACAGTCTTCCTCTGCCACAGTAGGCCAAAAGTGGATATCCATTATTTTCTAATTAGAGGGTAAAGTTTCTCTTATTACTGGGTAAAGTTGAGAGACCATCAACGAATAAAACAATAAAATAACGTTATACATAAAAAGGGTGAATTTTAGCACAGTACAACCCTGGTCAAATTTCCCAAATTCTAGATCAAACACTTGTCCTCATTTTCTAACAAGAAAATCTTGACTGGTGGAGAGAAAGTAACTTAAGCCTGTAGAGTTTGTTGGTAAACCTGAACTTATCTTTACTAACTTCGAGACCTCTTGGGCTTTTATGGTTTTTGAATAATCACAAACTTGTGAACTTCTAGCACAGAGAAGATAGTTATAATTTCACCACTCCTTTGGAGGGGAAAAAATTAATAAAGCTTGGTCTTTCAAGACGTATATCAAATACATTGATCTCTTCCCGGTAATGTGACTGGAATAGCAAATTTGGTGAAAAGAATTCTTGAGTGAATGAACCTTGTGTATGATCAGGCTTCTGAATAGTTATGATGAGTGTTTACAAGACAAAGGAAGCTATCACTTAAAAATAAAAACCATTAGAAACCTAGACTGCAGGAACTGAGAAGGGTTTGTTAGAAGACTATGTGATATAATTAGTATAAAAATAGTATATATTTTTGGCCAGGTGCAGTGGCTCACACCTGTAATCCCAGCACTTTGGAAGGCCGAGGCAGGTGGATCATGAGGTCAGGAGATCGAGACCATCCTGGCCAACATGGTGAAACCCTGTCTCTACTAAAAATACAAAAATTAGCTGGGTGTGGTGGTACACGCCTGTAATCCCAGCTACTCAGGTGGCTGAGGCAGGAGAATTTCTTGAACCTGGGAGGCAGAGATTGCAGTGAGCTGAGATCGTGCTACTGCTCTCCAGCCTGCTGACAGACCAAGACTCCGTCTCAAAACAAAACAACAACAGCAAAAAGTACATATTTTGTAGAGTGATAGGCACCAAACTCCTGTTAATGGTAACCTTTAGGGAGAGAAGGGAGGATTTAGGGTAAAGGGGGCGAAGTAAATGTCAAAGGGAACTTACGTACTATGGGTCATTTTTCTCTTTCTCTCTCTCTCAACAAGGTAACATTACTCATGTATTTAAATTTTAATTTTAAAATATAAAAAAATATTTCGAGCTTTGCAGAACTGTAGAGAGACCACTCTGACTGTAGCTTTCTCTAGCCCTTCCTAGGATGGCCATGCTTCCCTGACAACCATGGAAATGGGTCTCAATTCCACAGCCAGAGTCTGACCAATGTCTTATCTTTTGCTATATGCAAGATGGCTTCTAAGTTTCTAAGCCCATTATAATTTCCATATCAGATCATGGGAAAGAAAGACATTGTTAAAAAAGAAATGACAAGAGTCTTGATGAGGGAGGAATCAGGTAGAGTGAAATCATTGGTTATTCAAGCCCAGTTTTTCAGTCAACAGAAATATTTTACAATGTTATTCGAGTATTTGCCTTAGAGATGCCAGTCCATTGGAGGAAATTGAGTCTAGTTCATTTTGTCCTACTAAAAGAATTTAACCTTCACCTGCTTTTTTAATTCAATTCATATGTTTCAAAGATAGTTTCTATTAAATATTGAGTAGATACAAAATATTTATGAAATGTTTCTTAAATTTTCAATACAGCAAAAAACCTGTGTACTGACTACTTTTTAAGAAAGAAAATATTAACTACTAACTTTGAAGACTCCTAGATATCGGTTCCCATTTCTATCCCCTTTTCCTTCAGATGTAACAATTATCTCGAGTTTTATAATTCTCTTGCTTTTCTTTATAGTTTCAACTGCCTACTCTAAAACTATGTTGCTTATGGATGTTTTTGAGTTTTATATAACTATTTTGTATACTATTCTGTAACGTGCTTTTTTTTGGTCAACATTTTGTTCCTGAGATTAAGCACTGTAGCTATAATCGATTCATTTTCATTGTACAGTATTCCATTGCTTGACTATATTACAGTTTTTAAAATCCATTCTCAATTGATACAAATGCGAGATGCTTCAAAGTTTGAAATTATAGTATTGCTCTGAATATTCTCGTACAAGCTCACAGATGGACATGCAGAGGCTATTCTAGGGCAAGGGTCATGGCACTTTCTTCTGTAGAGGGACATATAGGAAATATTTTAGGCTTTGTGGGTCATACAGCCTCTGTCACAACTACTCAACTCTGCCATTGTAGCATGAAATCATGGCCATAGACAATATGTAAAAGAATGCATGTGTTCTAGTAAATCTTTATGCAGAGGCAGGATTTAGCCTGTAGGCCATAGTTTGCTAAGTTCTGTTCTAGGATATATATTAAGAATATGATATTACTGAACACAGAGTAAATATTCCATGCAAATATCCTCAACTTTACTAGACAATGTGCAATATTTTCCAAACAGGATTTTTCAAATAATACTCATTGCTCATTTGAAATGATCAGAATTTTAAGTTCAGCTGATTCTGGTAGATGTATATGCAGATATATACAGTAGAATCTCATTTTGGTTTTAATTTGCATCTCTCTGATTACTAATAAGGTTGAGATTTTAAAAACATGTTCATTGGCCATTCCTCTTCTGTGAAATGCCTACTGAAACCCTTTGCTCAACTTCTTTGGGTTGTCTTTTTATTATTATAGGACTTTGCAAAAATATTTCAGAAGAAATTATGAAGTCCTCTGTGAGTTTTAAATGATGTATTTATTTTATTATCTTATTCTGTAAGGCAGGTAAAGTAGACCATAATACTCTCAACAATAAGATGGAAAACCCTAAATAGATAAAAATTAGGAAAACATAGACGATTAAGACTAGGAGAAACTTGCAATTAGAATATACAGAAATAAGTTCATTAAGAATTAAGCTTCAGGCTGGGCACGGTGGCTCAAGCCTGTAATCCCAGCACTTTGGGAGGCCGAGGCGGGTGGATCACGAGGTCAAGAGATCGAGACCATCCTGGTCAACATGGTAAAACCCCGTCTCTACTAAAACTACAAAAAAATTAGCTGGGCATGGTGGCGCGTGCCTGTAGTCCCAGCTACTCAGGAGGCTGAGGCAGGAGAATTGCTTGAACCCAGGAGGCGGAGGTTGCGGTGAGNTTTTTTTTTGTTGTTGTTGTTGTTGTTTGTTTTGAGACAGAGTCTCACTCTGTTGCCCAGGCTGGAGTGCAATGGATGGATCTCAGCTCACTGCAAACTCTGCCTCCCGAGTACAAGTGATTCTCGTGCCTCAGCTTCCTGAGTAGCTGGGACTACAGGCACCTGCCACCATGCCCAGCTAATTTTTTGTATTTTTATTAGAAACAGGGTTTTGTCATGTTGACCAGGCTGGTTTTGAACTCCTGATCTCAAGTGGTCTGCCCACCTCAGCTTCCCAACATGCTGGGATTACAGGTATTAGCCACTGCACCTGGCCTTCTTTTTTCTTTCTTTCTTTGTTTTTAAATTATTTTTAAACATAGGATCTTGCTGTTGTTACCCAGGCTGGAATGCAATGGTGTGATCATCATTCACTGCAGCCTTGAACTCCTGGGCCCAGGCAAGCCTCCGGCCTCAGCCTCCCAAGTAGCTGGGACTACAGATGCATGCCACCATGGCAGATTAATGATAACTTATTTTTTATTTGCAGGCTTATCATACCTTGTCATAGTGGCAATGCTCAGCAAACCAGTCATGATCACTAGAAAGGGACTGCTGTGCTTGGTGGAACGGTGCAAAAGACTATAAATCTTGGCAGAGTAACATAGAGACTGCAGGGCAGAGTGTGGGGCACCCAGTGTAACAGCAACAATGCCAGTGGGAACATACTGGCAGGACCCTCATTGTTAGGGGTTTCCAGAAGAGCTTGAGGTAAGGGCTTTGCAGGAAGCTAAACATTATGTGTGAGCAAGTGTGTGTCGGAGCCAGAGAAATTCAGATTTCCCGATTATTGGTGTCCTTGCTTTATCCCTTTCATTAAGCTCTTTGAGGAAAGGTGCTAAATCTTACTCACCTCAGTACCTCCCAAAAGCAAGAGCCCTAGTCCTGACAGAGGCTGTGGAGATTG